GGATTTCATTGCTTCCAGGAGAAGCTTCCTCGTATGCCAATAGAACCAGCTGGATATACTCCTAGCAAGCCTTGTAACACTGTATGCCATGCTCTGATCCTAAACATATGTGCTTTTTTTACTCTAGTTGACAGGACCTGGTGTCTACAAAAACCAAATGCAGGACATTCTGGTGTGTAATTGTATTAAAACTAACTACTTTTATCTCAACACCTGCAGATTTAAAAAGGGCTTTATACAACCTTTAAAACTCACATTTAACACCCCAAATTCTGGGACAGATTAAAAGTGTAAGATTTGTAATGTAGCAAAAGTTCAAAAATAAAGGCAAAAGTACACACACACTGAACAGACACTCAGTCACAGGTAGTGACAAGGCAAAATAAAATAATCTGACATTAAACAAGTTATGTAACTTTGTTTCATTAGCCACGTTGTAACTAAAATAAGTCACTTGAAAACATGTTAAAAAGGCGGAGAAAAAAAAGGTGTACACGTATAAAGAACCATACCACCCTTTCAGGTTTTAGCTCTAACTTCAACATTACTATTATCAGTAACATTGTATTTTATCTTTGATGTATATTGCCAACAGCCTCCATTGGTTTGCACGGTATAAATGCCATTCTGCATATTCATTAAACTTACAATAACTTTGACAATACTCAATGTTCCATGATCTTCAGACAATGTTTTTTATGCTGAATCAAATTGCAGGAAAAGAATGTCCTCTTGAATTGTCGAAAAGTACAGAAGCATTTCTAAAACAAAGCAGCATGCTTTGCAAACATGATTGTCTTTGATCAATTAAATGTGACATGGCTAAAACATGCTACCGCTGGTATGGTCCCTTTAAGCTGTGTCCTCTGACAGAAACATAGCAGATTGGTGCAGAAGTCACAAATGTTTTCAAATCATTTAAGATACAGGGTACAACTTTGTGCTTGCCACCACCAACAAACAAACAATTGTAAGAACTAAAATTAGGCATGTTCAATGTATTTCTATTGATTTAATAACAAATAATAGATGGAATATGAAAATATTGCTGGGAACCTAGCACATGGAAACCGTGATTCCCTCTGTGGGTTTGTATATATTGGGCTTTACACACCCGTTTTAGTGATGTATAACTGTAACCAAAAGAATAAGATCAGCAACAGAACTCAGACTTCACAGATGAATGGTTAAACCAGATGAGGTCAGAGCAGCTGACTGCCGGGGGCTGGTGGTCTCAGCAGGATGAAGAGGGTTTTAGTTTATGCTGTCATCATCCATTTTGACTCATGTTGTGCTTTGCTCTCTTCTTGCCATCCGTGGTAAAAAAAAAACACATTGCACTGTGACGTAAAAACAATAAAAAAAAAGAACCAGTTTATTTTGTGCAGACATTATAAAATGTAAAAGTCACACTGTTACCCGTAGATATCATTGCCCCTGACTCTAATGTCAATTTAGGGAGCTGAAATTCCTGAACATGGTGAATGTGTGCAGCTGATTTGAAATATGTGATGATGTCATTTCTTCTTCCAGCATTCCCTGAAGTCAAGCAGTTTTAATTGGGGGTGTGGCGTAGATGGTAGAGCTCTCCATTGTCTGCAGTCTGGAGCTGTCTGTTTGCACTCTGATTCGTATCACTGTGACATTTGAGGGTTTGTTTTTCATTAAGCCCAGTATATTATGAGGACACCATGAAAATGTGACTGGTACTGGCACTGGTATCAGTGAGGCCTAAGTTATAGACAGTATCTGTCCAACACTTTAATCAGACCTCACGGTAAGTGTCATCATGGAATTTATTTTTGCTTAAACGCCACCAAATTACAGTCATCATTGTAATTTGAAAAACATTTTTGAACCATCATTAATGTCAGGATTTTATTGAAATCTGCTATTAATTGAAGTTTTCCACCTGCTATATTTGATGGTCCGACACTGAACCTTTCCTCTGACGCAATATGACAGGACATTGTTTCTCGGTGCCAATAGTGGTGAGTTCCGATCTTAAAGGTCCCATGTCCATGCTTTTCCAGTTATTACCCCGTCCACTTGTGTTGTTATGTAGCTTTTTATGCATGTAAAACGGTCTGCAGAGAGTCACAAACCCTCAAAGTACACCCTCTAGCGAGTACAACTCTAACAAATGGACCAATCCGCGGAGCTCCTCACACCACACACACTCACTCAGCCTTATTTTTTCTCAGCTGCGGCTCCGCGGATTTCTCACCCTGAACTCAGCCTGAGACAGCGAGACACCGCGAAACTCACCTGAACTCAGCCTGAGCACACACACAAACTCCTCGCAGACCCCACGCAGCTTCCAGGAACTACCCCAGTAATCCCAGCTCACCACTGTCCGCTCCTCGCAGCAGCGAGCCCCACAACATCCCGCCAACACGGCACCCAGACCCCACGCAGCATTCTCATCTGTTTGTCATTACTGGTGTCATTTTCTGGTTGCTAACACCAACGCCATTGTAACACATAAACATTGATGTTCCAACCCAGTCTCACGGCATTTCGTGTTATAGTCACAAACTTAATTTAATCTATTGATTCGTGTTCACCAACACGATTTCCGCATTTCTTTCGTGTCACACAGAACGATTTTAAAAGCAATGTATTTCGATGGTAGTATGTTTTCGTGCCTGCACCACGTATTTTTGTCCGGGTCGGGTCTTGGAATACCAGAAGCTGTGTGGTTCATAAAAACATGTTCTTACTCAATATCTTACCCATAAGCCTAACCCTTTTATTTCAAATTGTATAATGTCGGATTTTTTTGCCGTCCGCGAGGAAAATAAATGACTCAGAGCCTCAGAATACTGAAATCTGTATTTTTCAAATCTTTTTTTTCCTTCTAATTTGTTATTATTTGGTGCAGGCACGAAACATACTACCAATAGAAATACATTGCTTCGAAAATCGTTCTGTGTCAGAATACTGAAATCTGTATTTTTTGTATCTGTTTTTCCTTCTAATTTGTTATTATTTACATTGCTTTTAAAATCGTTCTGTGTGACATGAAAAAAATGGCAAAATCTTGTTGGTGAACACGAATCAATAGATTCATTTCGTGACTATAACACGAAATGCTGTGTGACTGTGTTGGATGTTCCGCTGCAACGGTGGTGGACTCATCAGAACAGAGTGGGCGAGCTGACCAATCAGAGCACAGTGGGCTCATAGGGCAGGAGCTCCAACAAGCCGTTTAGGACAGAGAGTAAATACTGTACACATACTATACAGAGATGCTGTATGAGAAACCAATGTGATTTTTGGAACATTGAACATTCTAGCAACAATGGAATTATGATCAGTAGAATATGGCCATGTCATGGGACCTTTAAGTTTTGTTTCCGTATCATCCGGTACCATCTTGCCCTGATCCAGGACATCAATGTCATGCTGCTGATCTGATGGAACCTCAACACTTTAATCACCCAGGTGTTCATTTTATGGGAAAACATTATGGTAGGAATTGTAGTATAACTTAGTGGCTGCATTACTATAATGTTATCGTCTACTTCAATAGGTCTTCAGTGGGCGATACAGCTACACTGAAGTCCACCTCTATCTCAATAAAGGTTCTCAATGCGGAATTCAGAGCATATTTATGATTAAGGGATTGCCTCCACAGCTCTCAACATGTTTGAGGGTTAAGCTAATGGTGTGCTAGCAGGGAAAGCTAACAGAGCTAACAGTGTTAACCTGAGGGAGAAACAAAGGGTGGCTGATTTCTGAGTTTGCGCAACATCCTGTGGGTAAGGACGAGGATGTTTTAGAAAACGTAACAGCCAACCTCTGTGTAAGCACAGTGCAGAACAGTGACCATTAGCTAGCCAAACACAGGACTTGCCTGCGCTAGCATGCACACCCTGCCGGACTGGCTCCTTATGAAAGCACGGAGGAGCTCAAATTACAACACACAGAAACCACTATATCTTTGTATAGTACATCGTTGCTACTATACTAATGTTTTGAATACTGTATAAAGAACCTTACAGTATGTATGTATGTATGTATGTATGTATGTATGTATGTATGTATGTATGTATGTATGTATGTATGTATGTATGTATGTATGTATGTATGTATGTATGTATGTATGTATGTATGCATGTATGTAGGCCTATGTATGTATGTATAGAAGTAAGTATCCATCAGCCCTCTCTGTAGAGTTTAGCATCCTTGCTAACATAATCTCAAACTTCCATTAAGATATATTATTTTTCCTTTGTTACTTCACCTAAAATGTAGTCTAATTTGGTACAGGTACACTTTGTTACTTGCACCCACCTGCTATTGTTGTTTTTTGTCTGTGCATTAGGCATCCCTCTCTGAAAATGTCTGGATTCCATCAGATACCCTTTCCTAAAAATAATATGTGGTACAATGGTGGTCTTATATCAAGCTCTTAATGTGGGATGTCAGCTAATCAAAAAAACACTTTGTTAGCATTCCTAAGCCAGCACCATGCTAACCTGTGTTGTGTGGCTCGGTGTTTACAATGTTAAAAGCTGCTGGAACATTTTGCCCAGAAGATGACGTGTGTTTATGAAAGAAAAAGCAGACTCTGGACACTCAAACCACAAACAATGACTTCAGTACCCTCTACGTCATCTCTAAAGTAAACAAATGATGTATGTAGTATCAGAGATCTCCTGGTGGTTGGTGTAGTTTGGCTGAGATGACTGTTGTGTGTCTTCCTTCCCATTTTCATCTCAGCGCTTTTGCTTGTGCCTCCTGATCCCCACCCCCCACAATCACCTCCACAAAGGTCATAGCACAGCCATGTTTATGAGGCCGGACTGCAAGTAGTTGAGTTGAGCTGCAAGGAAGATATTTTTTTGGTATTGTTTGAGTTTGACTTATCTCTTATAGGAGAAAACAGCGAGGTTGTGTCTGTCCAGCTTTCACCTCATCTTTGTCACTTCCCATCCTTCCCTCCTGCCACGTTTGGTTAATTGTACCTAAACAAAACACAATGACTATGTATAGATGCTACTAGTTCAGTTCTTTATGACCTTTTCCAGTGAAGACCATCATCATCCCAGAATAATGGAATGTCTAGGCCAAAGAAGAAAATGTTTGGAACACACAATATGTATGGTCACTGTGTCACATTGGGCAATTACAGACCCTTTCACAGTTGTAAACATAAATATTCTAAATGTGTCCCAGTTAATTTTGTGTTGCAGTCTAAGTTCATAACATAACCTGACAGGAAGTAGTCATAGACCCGAGCTGTAGCCTAGCAATGTAATTCAGTTGAAACGGTCTATAGAGTAATTGCTTCTTGCCGTGGTCAAAACTAATCAAAGCTTACCGTCTTTCATCCTTGGTGGCGCTACGGAATAGAAAAGAAAAGGGGTAATGAGAGATGGAACGTGAGATTGTTGGTAGTAACAAATTCTTATTGCCACAGACCCTGTTGCTGTTCTTGTGATAGCAGGATAATCCTTTGACCGCAGCACCCCTCTTTGGGTTCTGAGAGCAGTGGAACTACAACGTGGTCTCATATTCTAACCGTTCCTGCACCAGAGCGTCGTCTTTGTACTGCAGCCGCGGAGGAGTCGGTGAGGAGTCTATGGCCAGGATTGCCCTGCGTATACTGCGGTCGAGGACATGGCGTTCCCACGCAGGGTAGCGGTTCCTGCAAAGGTCGATCTTGATGACGGTCTCATCGAGGCGCGGAGCACGGGACGATGGCGTGGATGGTGCTGGGGGTCGGACCTGAAAAACTGGCATGCAGCCGTCCCGCTCGGAATACTTCCCCATGTCGCGCTCCAGAGTTGTGGTGGCACCCCGGTTGGAACGAAGCGAGTTGGTGGCACCTTCGGACGGAAGCGTGGAGAATTGAGCAGTGGGGTCCAGGTCCAGTGCCTGGCCACTTGGTGAGCGGCCGAAGCGAGGCCCGTTGGGATGGAAAAAGGCATAGTACATGAGCATGAAAACCACTCCGGTGAGGAAACTGCTGAAGATGACGCAGAGAGCTGGCACTGCAAAGGCGTCAGTGGTGTGGGGCGAGCGGTAGAGGTACCACAACGCACTGAGAGCAGCATTCTCCACCAGAATCACCAGGTAGTATATGAAGAGCCGACACCTGCACAGAGACATGATAGAAAGGAACAGTTAGCGAACAAGATAGGTAAGTGTGTGTTTGGAATTGGGCATTTGGCATTGGGCTGTGAGCATTTCAGTGATTAGGATCATCATTCCAACACAGATCTTTGTAAGCCCATCATGGGTGGCTTGATTTGCTGTATATGTAAAAGCCTTTTAGGTGGTTGCAAAGACTGAAAATGATCTGTATAAATGCAGTCCATTTTCAAATGACCATGAATGTATAAAAGGCAAACTACCGTAAAAGGTTATTTCTTTACCACAAAGTTATTTTAAACTCAAAATTCCTAAATAAAATATAATTTGACTACAACACAGAATAAAAAAGGACCTTACATTACATTAAAAAAATCAAGCATCAGAAACAATTTGTTCCGTCACACTTCATGGACCTCACCTTGTCCGTCCCTCCTTGACGTTGAACCAGGAGAAGATGTAGATGATGCCCACCACCATGTCAAACACAATCTCCTCCCACTTGCTGATGCAGAAGTCTGTCTCGCAGTGGACAATCCAGAAGGTCATGATGCACCAGTGCAGCACAATGAAGATGCCGAAGTAGAGTTGAAACACAGAGGCGAACAGGGCGAAAGTGATGACCCTGGCAGCGATGGTGAAGAAGTGCCAGCAGAACTGGATGATGACGGCCAGGTAGCTGATGGGCTTCTTGTCGTCCCGAGAATCCCGTAGAGCCTTCTGGTAGGAGGCCAGGGCCCAGGCCAGAGAGACTAGGGAGGCTGCCGCTGTCATCCCTGGGAGACGTACAGAACAAAAACATTTTGTGAAATCTGCCGTCAGACTCACAGCCAGAGGAGGAGATATTCCTCTTCAATATCAGGTTTCTTCTCAGAGCGTGAATTACAGACTGGATTCTGAACGTGTTAGCATAGCACAAACACTACAAATGAACCCATTATGGTCGATTTACTTAGAAAGACCGTTGTTATGTCTCGAAAATATTGCTGCATCGATGTATCATACCAAGATTAGATTAAATAAGGTATAAATACATGGATTTTAGTACATGATTAAATTGAACACTAAAGAAGCTGGTATTAACTTGCACTTTGTATCATGTATCACTCACATATTTCTATTATAAGCTAATTTGGCTAAGCGATTTAAAAAAAATATATACTATAAATTGTATTTGCTATTCATAACCGATCACATAAGAGTGTTGCTAATCCAAAGAAGACAAAAAGGGCAAGGCTGCTAACGAAGTAGATGCATAAGAACATATGAACATCTTTAAATTACTAAAATCCCTTTTTCAATCAATATTTTGTTTCAAACTATTGATTAATTTAGTAAGTAGCCATATACATGTAATCAGCCTGATAAGGTGCAGTGAGCTGGGCATCATTTTATGATGTATGGCACTGTCAAAAGTAAATAAAGAGGCATATATGAATCCCTCGAGGGGAAATATACTTTTTACAAACACAAAAATGATTCATACATATGCATTAAAGTGGGTCAGATGAGGGGGATACCTAATAGGATGGTGCCCACAGCATTTGGGTGTTGAGTGCCTTGCATACGAGCACCCTGGTCATTGCCAGGCATCTCTCCATCCACAGTGGACTTAACTTTGGATTTCAATTTAGAATCCTAGTGCTGCAGACTGAATTATTGCGACACCAGTAGCAAAAGTTTTCAAATTTGTAAAAAAAAAACGTAATGTAGCAAGGCCTGTTAGACCTTATAAGTCTTTAAGTCTATTGAGGTCAGAGGTCGCGTTAACCGAATATTTTCCATCAATGACGGATTTTTTCTAACAATGACGGAAAAATCTGAAAGCAGTCCATCATTTTGACAGATTAGAACACAACGCGGAACAGCGCCAAAATGTCCACCAGCGGCCCACATTATATTACATCCTTAGTGGCCAGGTAGACTGAGGGCGATCTACTGTACTCTACTGTAGTCTGTAACTATTATTTAGTCATTCACACCCCTGTCCAGTTGGTGGCGAGTGTGTGTATATTAAGTAGCTATTGTCTAGTCTTGTTTTTGACCTCGTTGATTACCTTGTTGTTTAACCGGCTTTAGCAATCGCAGCTGATCGTCCGAAGCTTTTTTAATAAGCCCAGTAGTTGTGATGGTGTGGATAAACGAGGTGAAAAAAGAGGGATTGATGCGGTGGAGGATGAAGGACAAGCCAGTAAGACTAAAACTGACAACGTTCAGCCAGCGGCAGAGGGGCAAGCAAGTGGCAAGGAGTTCAAGCGGGAGTACTGGGTTCAGTGGGAGCAAGAGTTTAAGTGGCTGAGGAGGGAGGATGGCAAAGTGTTCTGCGACATCTGTAGAAAAGCTAAGATGAGTAACGGATTTGTCCGAGGGTGCACGACGATGCAGAAATCAGCGTTCAGGCTACAGCAGGTCAATTGAGTTGTTCTTGTACATTTTTTGTTCATATTCTGATTGTAATTGTCTCATTTAAAACGATGGCATCATATTTGCCTGTTTAGGCACAATGGTCCCGGTGTTTTTAGCGGCCTCTGCCCCCTCTGCTGTGCTGTCAGTGCAGGAACAAATAAATCATTCATGTTCGTGTTGACAGGAAAAGTGACCACGCGGTCGGTGTCTCTGTTCATCTTTTTGTTTCTCCATGCCCTTAAAAGTTCTCTACTGTATGAATCATTAACCAAACATAAATATTAAATATATCTCATCTCCTCATTAAAACATGAAAAATAAAATGACGGGTAATAATGGATTATGACGGAAATTTTACGATCCTGTCCGTCAAAATGACGAACAACGAAAAAGTCTAACGCAACCACTGATTGAGGTACACACTCCGATAGAGTGGAAGTTAGTACAAATGTTCTATAGTCACCAACTTGCCCTTGCACAAAAGTGCCCTTTCATGTTTCCGCCCTCTTGCCTGTCGTCCCGGTGCATTTCGAGGTATTTAATAAGCCTTTGCTTTGGCCTGTTGTCACTGCTTCAAAGGGTTTGTTTGAAGTTTAAGACTTTAAGGTTAGAATGGGGTTCAGGTTAAGGGAAGCAGTTTACATCCAGCAGATGGTGCATGATCACAGGTAAAATATATGAAACTACTAAGTGTAAAACATAATTATATAAATCCAAAAACAAGATAATAAAATGATTCCATTTTGGCTATGGGGTGGAAAAGAGTTGGAGATAAGCCTTTAGTTGTGATGGTTAAGGTTAGAATAACGCATAAAGTCAATCTCACAAATATAGAGAAACATGTGTGTTTGTGTGTGCTTGTGAGTGAGTATATTACCTTGCACAGCCTGGAGCTTATGTGTCTGTATAATGATGCACAGCTGCAACACCAGTTGTGGAGCGCTCTCCAGAAAGGTGGCCAGTAAATGCAGCATGCTCACATCTGCAAACTCATACACCATCCTCCAGTAGTAGCGCCAGTGCTCCGTCTCAGAACTCTGACGACTCCGAACGCCCAGGTAGATGGTGTGGAAATACCTTGAAGGAAAACAGAGAGAAAATATAGTGCTTTAACATCAACCAGACAGGAAAAACAATATATGTAACATGACTTTAAGAAGGAAAACAAAACACTGAAAATAAAAAAAAACACAAATCAATGAAGAAACACCCTGGTAGATACTGTTCCTAGGGGACACCAAAAACTGACGCACAAGTCTGAGACATGTTGTTGTCATGCTAGTGGCACGCTAATGAAGTTATTGAAGCTGGCTATCAGTGGTGTTGGAAACTGAGCTATAATGTAACCACGTCCGTTTTTTTAAATCAGTTTTAAATCAACCAAAATAAATGTATCTAGGTCACATTATTAGACGCTGTGCCACATCTGTTATTCATACTCATGGTAATAGGTCATCATTTTTTAACCTCAAGCAGAGGACAAGTGCTTATATTAGCACTCAAGCCTCTTGCTATTAGTTTAAGCCATTAGTCAGGTGGCAGTAGAGCAGCAGCTCTCTGCAGGTGACGGAGGATTTAAAAGGAGTGAAGGCCGCAGTCAAGTAGCTTTGAATTTATGTCATCATTTCAATCCATTACCTATGAAACACCTCATTAATTTGCTAGCATTTTAATGCAAAATGAGAAATATACCTATAGGTGTGAAAAGTGTGTTGTTCATCGACTTATTATTAAGATGCTCTATGTTTTTATTTACTAGCTGCTTGAATGGTCTAAGTTGTAATTGCATTGTTATTGTTATGTCTGTAAGGCACTCTGTAAGCTTACTTTTGAAAAGCATATGATAATATTATCGATTCAAGTTCACTCTAAAAGTACAATGGGTGCCAGAGCCTTTTCTTATCAAGCTCCACATTTGTGGAATCAGCTTCCAGTTTGTGTTCGGGCGGCAGACACCCTATCCGTTTTTAAGAGTGCGCTTAAGACCTTCCTTTTTGATAAAGCTTATAGTTAGGGCTGATTAGATTCAGCCCCTAGTTTTGTTGATATAGGCTTAGTTTGTCGGGGGACATCTTACTTCTTCCTTCTCTCTGTCTATACCTGTGTACTCTCATGTTCCGATTAACCCAGCTTCCCCAAATGTCTTTCTTTTTGGTGTCTATATACGCCGGGATCCGGAGTCATGGATGATCCTGCGCTCCTCTGTCCTGGATCGCGAGCCCTGGATCTTGAGTCGTGGCTGTGGTCCTGGATCATAGGTCCTGGATGGATATCCTCGTGGATTCATCTTCCTATTATACACACATGCATTTCCAAACATTTGGACTACCTGTTGAAAATGTATTATCTTTTTCAATTTACACACGGCATCTATTGCACGTCTGTCCGTCCTGGGAGAGGGATCCCTCCTCTGTTGCTCTCCCTGAGGTTTCTCCCATTTTTCCCTTTAAACTGTGGGTTTTCTCCGGAAGTTTTTCCTTGTACGATGTGAGGGTCTAAGGACAGAGGGTGTCATATTGTCATACTGATATTTTGTACAAACTGTGAAGTCCACTGAGACAAATGTAACATTTGTGATATTGGGCTATAAATAAACATTGATTGATTGACTGTCCATTCAAAGCCCATTATTACTAAGTGTGTAGTTGCCCTTGTTTTTTGGTATTAAAGAAATGTTCAGACAGGTGCAAAGGTATGTAACAAAGAAATACCATCAGACTAATTATTATTATTATTATTATTATTATTATAATAATACGCTTAATTGTAATAATAACAACGGTTTATTTGCGAAGCATTTTTCGAGCAATAGCCATAACTTGCTTTTCAAGGTGAGAGAACAAATAACAAATATTAGGGACTATTGTAAGATGTTAATTAATCTGAAAATAACGGTAGAACTGAGAATAAAGGGTCACTGGTAAAATTATAAAAATATTGTTGATTTACTTGTTTTAAAGGTGTTACGATTCTTATGTTATGTCACGTTTTTAGTTTTGTATGTCTAGGTTTGGGTTTATTTTGCTGTTCGGTTCTCCCTGTTTCATGTTTTCCTCCTTGTTTCTTGTCTGGTCCTTCTCCTTGTGTTTTCCTCCTGTCGTTAGTTTCCCTAGTGTGTCTAGTTGTCTGATTGTGTTCACCTGTTGCCCTTGTGTTTCTGCCTCCCCTGCCCAGCTGTTTCTCGTCTCGTGATTACCCCTCCCTGTATTTAGTCTTGTCTCTTCCTGTGTTCGGTGTCGGTTCATTGTTTGTTTTTCCTGTCTCCTTTCATGTTGGTCACGATCGTTTATTGGGTATGTTATCTTCCTTGTGTGACCTATGGATTATCCTTGCCATGTTTTTTGTTGATCGGCTTTTTTTTTTTTTAAATAAAGCTCGCTTTTGTTTATAGACCTTTATCTTTTTGTAGTGTGCCTTTTGGGTCCTACCTTTTTCCGCGATCTAAACAGTGATCGTAACAAAAGGTGCACTCGTGCCATAGATAACAAATGGCTTCAGCAGATACAGTATGTGTCCGTTTCATTTGACATGTTTATTTCTGGCAAAGTCTGGTTTATTTTCCATTTATATCTCATTCAGAGTCTTTATGTGAACTGATGAACTGCTGTGCTGTGTTGAGGGGTTTTTGGATTAGTAATTGGTTGGAGAGCTCAGTACTCCTCTACAGTAGCTATTCCCAAAATACATTTCTGCCTTGTGCACTTTTATTGGTAGTGTGACAGTGGAGTCATAGTGCCGTACAGCTCCACCTACAACAATATGGTCAACAATCCTTATTGTAAAGAACACTTTTTGGAATGAATAGCTGAATAAAAGTGAGCATGTAGTCCAAGCCCAGTACATGTTATTTATTCACTTCCTCCTTTTAGCTTAGCGGTGGTGACGTGGCCTTTATAGCATTAAGTTAGCTATTTACTTAATTTCTCAAGTAGATTAGATGTATGCTTTAACAATTATAAAAGTGGTATTAACATGTGGAGATTATCCTGCTGAACAAAATACGTGAGCATTATAAACATGTGTTTGCCACAGATGTTATTTTCGTCAATATTCTGAAATCCAATGCAAATATCCCAGTGGTCGAGGGAGCCCATGTGATGCTAACTTCCGGGTCGGCCTACAAAAAGACATCATCCCCGCACCACTCCATGAACCATGCTAAATACGTTTTAATTGCACGCAGGCAAACAGTCCATATGAAGAGCAAAAGTGTTGGAACACATTGGCCGAAAAAGAAACCCCCGACCTGCTGTCATCTGATGACAACTCAGCTTTCATTAGCTCAAAATGAGCTTGTTATATTGTGAAACAATCAATCAACTCCATCTCTACAACTGTAACTGCAGCTATTAGCTGAAGCCCCTCGGTATACCACCATCAGACTGGTGGCTGCTGTTTTCCGAGAAGGGCTGTAAAATAAATGTATTGATTTTGTGATATGAGACTACTGTAGATATCAGCTTATTTTGGATGTTTTAATATTGGTGTTCTCTAATCCTCGTTTTACATGCTGCAATAAAGTAAATTGATGTCATTTTCTGAATTTACCAGACTTAAGGTTATCTATTATATTATTTGCCTTTACCCGGAAAGCCATTAAATCCACACTACATGTTTCTATGTTGAGAAGGCCACTATGGTCAACCCTGCAATATAATTATATATAATAATAATGATATTGGGGTATCATATCGCCCAGCCCTAATTACAAGATCGGTAGACCTGCTCATCATTACTGATCTGTGAACAGCAGCAGGGTCACACTGATGAGTGTAACGATGACACAGAAAGCACACACACATTTCAAATGTGATTGGTCACTGGGTATTATAAATGTTGAAACAACATGAATGTCACATGCAAGGTTGTAGCATTTCCTAGTAAGAAACCCCAACCATTTTAAAAATTAAAATAAAATTACAAAAATAACATAGCTAGTGTGAATGCTGTGGCACAGCATTCACACTAGCTATGTTGTTTTTTCTGATAGAAATGCAAGAGGTTTATCTCTCATTCAGAACAATGGAAAGGCTCTCCTTTCACTGCACATCTCCATGGAAACCTTTGATCTCTGGGCTCACGTACAGATGTTTAATAACGTTGTCACCATGGTAACCTTTGATCTCTGGGCTTACACACACAGGTGTTTGTAAACATTCATTCACTACTACTTACATTTAATATCTAATTCCTTCAGCCTACTTTCAGCTCTAAACCATTCAACTATTACATTATTCAGCTATTTCAGGACATTGAGGCTATACATTTAGTTGTTTATACCTTTTTTAAACCTTTTCTTTAAATATTAAGCTTCTTCACTATTTTTCCTACTCTTCCAGTTTAACATTTCACTTTCAAGTTTTCAACAAAGTCATTTGAGCTGTAAAAAAAAAAAATGAAGCAAAAAAAATTAAACAAAATTCCTCTTGAGGGCATGAAGGGACAAAAACATTCAACATGTCTCTATTAATAGCCATTGTAAATGCAGCCTGATCTGTCCTCAGAGTAGCAGCTGCTCACCTTTAGTAAATCAGTCAAAAATGCCACATTATTGACCCGAAAGTGCACAAAAAGCACACTTCAGACGCTCAGGGTCCTGGACATGCTTCACGCGTTGCCATTTTACGAAAGCAACTACCGTTTTTAAACTATAGTTAGAAATGTAAGAGGTTTATTTCTCATTCAGAACAATGGAAATGCTCCCCTTTCACAGCACATCTCCATGGAAACCTTTGATCTCTGGGCTCACACACAGGTGTTTGATAACGTCGTCACCGTGGTAACCTTTGATCTCTCGGCTCACGTACACAGATGTTTAATAACGTAGTCACCTCAAACACAAACAAACAGACTGGAGTTTAAAGACTGTCTCAGCCTATTATTTTCTGTCTGATGGAGACTTCATACTGACTTCAACACGTTCCACATATTTTATACATTATTGGTGACGTTTGGTTTTAGTTCAAAAAATTGCAGTTAAACTATTCTGATGCTTTTCAAAGCGTTTTAACTACGCTACTACTACTTACATTTAATATCTAACTCCTTCAGCCTACTTTCAGCTACAGAAACCATTCAACTATTACATTATTCAGCTATTTCAGGACATTGAGGCTATAGATGTTGTTGTTTATACCTTTTTAAACCTTTTCTTTTAAATATTAAGCTTCTTCACTATTTGTCCTACTCTTCCAGTTTAACATTTCACTTTCAAGTATTCAACAAAGTCATTGCAATGCATTTGAGCTGTAACAATTTGATTCAAATCATTTCACTTTTCTGCATTTCTCCCCTAAGTTCAGCAACACACTGACTTGGTCTCTGTAGCTAGAAGCAGCTACGGAGACCATTCAGCTAATAAAATATTCAGCTTTTCTGCATTTCAGCTAAATTTAGCTACAAATGTTCACAGTTTAAAGCATTCACACGCATTTTCTGCAGGAAATGCATTTTCTAGTTGATCTTATTTGTCCAGATAAGATATGTTCTCTTTACCTTTGTATTCATACAGAACAAAGAGCAAATGTTAGAGGCAGTGTGATTGCATATAAACTCAACAGAGTTTGATGCAAAGACAAAGTTGAACATGAATTCTTAAAGAAAATATTACATTGTCCACAGGAAACAAAAACAAGATGGATATTTTACCACAATGTATTGTCCTTCAATCATCTGAAAGCAATAGCACATTAAAATACTTGTTTAATTTTACCCAAGTTCCTAACAAACACAGCCTTTCCTCTTCAGTGGGAACTCATTTCCACAGCTGATGGTGGGGTCACTGATCTTAGTTCTGCATAGAGAGTTCTTATTTGGATTGGGACCAACTATCATTTGTGATATTGATTTATCTGTGAATAGTTTTTTCATTTTTGTCTTAAAAATGTCATAAGATATTGAAAATGCTAATTAGACTTTATTGTATAGCTAAATCTTAAATCTATTTATTTTTAGTAAGAGCAATATTTCAACAACAAAAGATAGTTAACACTGTGAGACAACAATGAAATGCATCGCAATTCACATTGTAGGAACAGTAAGATCAAATATTGTTGCCTAATATACATTTTTTAACTGATTGACTAATTGTTTCAGCAATAATCTACTTACACAAAGTAAATCAGGTTTGTTGAGACCATCTTTCACAGAAAGAATGATACTGATCATTTGTTGACATTATGTAAATGTGAATTATATATTTTTTAAGTGAATAATATGTCTTACGGTACGTTCTTTTTTTTTTTTTTTAAAGCTTGCCATTTTAAATGAATTGTCACCATCGCACTCTTTCATCACATGCATGGGCGTATAAGCATCCTCAATGTGGGTGGGACAATTTGACAGAGGGTGTGGGCAGGTGGTGTTATTTTTTAAATATTGAAGTTAAATGCATCAATCTGGTGCACTTTGAGAGCAACATTAGGGACTAAATCTATGGATACATCTCTCAACAATACCCATATGAAACAGAACTGTAAACAGATTTACTTTTTCTTTATGCATATTTTACAAATCACTCTCCTTTTAACATGTATTTTTGTGTTACTGTCCTATATGAGTTGGAATGATTTCATACCTGTTATTCTCTTGTTTTTTATAACTATAATGATCATATAAAAGTGTGCGTTGGAAATACTTGTTTACATGATTACCAAACCGTTTGAGACCCACTACTTAGACTAAAGTTATCTAAACACTCACATGTACAGATCATTAGCCATTATCACATTGAATGGGAATTAAGTCAAATGCCAACATGTTGCACGCACATGCTCATCACACAGTGTTATTCAGATTCATCAACCCCAGAGGCTTTTTGGGAGGTTCATTTCGACATCAGCAAACCCGAAAGCATCCACAGCATCAACAACAATCAGACTCCAGGTGTGACAGACTGCAGGGGATTCTAATTCAAGATACAAATATGTTTAATGTTTAGCATACAGTGTTAGCTTTCATGACCAGTTGGTAGAGATATATAAAGATAGGTGACCCTCAGTGGGCCCTTCGTGTGTGTTGGCTCTGCATGGGGGGGGGGGGGGCAGCTGGGAGCCATGCCCACTCTAAGAGCTGGCATAATTCAGAGGCCACCATGCTCATTCATTAATATACACACACACACACACACACACACACACACACACACACACACACACACACACACACACACACACACACACAATGTCCTCACAGATTGGGAATAGCCGGCCTACTGCAAAACAAAAACACATAATTGTTACCCATCCCAAGGCCCCAATACCTCCATATCTGGCCCAGCTGAAAGATGTGGATGACGGACTGGCTGCTCCACACGCAGAAGGAGTAGTAGGCCGGACGCTTCCTTCCCCGGCCCGCCGCGGTGCTGCTGGTGCTGTTGGTGGCTGTGTTCTTGCTGGCGGTCGACGCCTGTCTCTGCGGCGTGGCCGGGTGGTGCTGCGCAGTCACATCCCCGTGTGAGGCGGAGCCGCTCAGCAGCTTGTTCCCATCCATGTGGGAGCAATCCACGGAGGACTCCGAGCCGTCCTCGGTGCTGAAGTCGTGGACGAACCATCTGAAGCTGAAGAGCTGCACGGAAAAGGAGCCCAGCACCACGAAGAAGAGCGTCAGGCCGAACCACCAGTATTCGCCGCGGAGGTAGTAGTCCGCCGACAGCCACACGTCGGTGCCGACATCCGCAAGATACACTGCAACTGCGGCTACTATCCACAGACAGTCCCACACCGTGTACCTCTGCTGCTCTCTCACCAGGCGGAGACACGTCGAGCCGGAGCCTCCCCCGCCGCAGCACCGCGACTCCCCGTTCGCGAAGTCCCCGGTACCCGCAGAGTCGGGCTGGGCTCCCGGGTGGAGCCCCTGCACCGAGCCGGAGTGCTCCGAGTTCTGCAACGGGGTGAAGGCAACGTCGCTCTTCTTTATCTTCAGGACCCCGTCCGATTTAGCCGCCATTATTGGAAGCTTGTAATATTACTCTATTATTCTTCCTCCCCTCCTCTTCTCCTCTACCCCTGCCTCTCTCCGTCGACACCCTTCTGTGTCTCTCTCCTCCGCCTCCTCCTCCTCCTCCTCCGCCTCCTCTCTGGACAGGAACTAGCTCCTCTACACAGCCGCCTGCTCATAATACAGAATAAAGAAAGAACTGAGCACTGACCCGGGGCTGGCCCCCATATGTTGGCCCATATCGCGTCTTATAGGCGGACTTCTTCTCCAGTGATGATCCGCTCACATGCAGCAGAGAGCAGGCTTTGTTTCCTCCACCTGCAGACACGGGTCTATTTCCTTTTCTGCTTCTTTTATCCGCGGTGAGTTCTCATGCTGAGGCTGATGTTGGCTAGAGATGGAGACAGGAGCGAAGGTAAAGGAGGACGCCTGCACCCTTCCTCTATGGCACAGAATAAAAACTATGACATCATCTCTCTCTCTCTCTCTCTCTCTCTCTCTCTCTCTCTCTCTCTCTCTCTCTCTCTCTCTCTCTCTCTCTCTCTAGCACCATGGACAGTTACACACTGTCACTCAGCAAACTTGCACTTGAACCACATGTTTTATCATGTCATGTATCACCACAACACTTCATTTGTCAACAGGGGCGGACTGGCCATCGGGACGAATCCCGATGGGCCGGTACTTAAGTGGGCCGGTCGGACGATGTGGGCCGGCCGGTAACCGGCAGGGCTCGACATTAAATGGCCCGCTGGCCCGGAAGCATTATTTAGACACCCCGGGCCAGCATAACGTAGGCTACTTTCCACTTGCCCGCTCGGGCCACTAAAAATATTGCTTTAAAAAAAAAATGGTCCTGTGGTATTGGTATTTCGTTAAATTGTTTCGTTTATTAACGCTACAACATAGCGTTCCGTGTGGTGAGTCGGTTGTCTTGTTGGGTGAAAAGCAAACAGCTGTTTGCTGCGGAGCGCAGCGCGAGCAGGCTCCCGTGAGCGCGCTCCTTCACTACAGACTATCGCGCCACCTAACCATTCGCCAAAAATGTTTTTAATACCAGCAGTAACCGGCCAAGCGTCGGGCAAAAAACAATCTTCAAATAAAAGAAAGTCACCGGAGGAGTTAAAGGAGAGTGACAGGGAGCATGAGAAGAAGAGGGAGAGAAAGTTACAGCCAGCTTGATCGATGGAGTTGGCTTCTAGTGGTGCAGTGACGCGTCCTAAAACCCTTTTATAATCTATCATTAGATTTACGATTAGAAAATTATAGAAGTAGGGTAGACATGTGGAGATTATCCGGCTGAACAAAACGTGCATTTATCAAACAGGTTTGTTTTCCACAGACCTTATTTCCAGCTATTTTCCAAAACCCTGTGGAGAAATCCCATTGCTTTTTGTGGAGGGAACCAGCAGCTTACTTCCTGGTTTTAGGATGCGTCACTGGCTGCACCTCTCAATATGATGCCAATATAAACACGGTCTTCTGTCGGCTCTGTACATCAATGCCCACCTATGCTGACAAGTAAGTGAAGAGTAGACAATATAAAGGTATTGGTGAAATGTCCCACACTGAAAAAAAGGGGAAAGTGGGGTTGTTCAATTTGCAAATATGCATTTAATATATGAAACATGAATCAATCATGTAGAACTATGTTAATCTTGAGGGCTGTATACGTTCTATAAGTATCAATCATGTTAAGAAATAAGAAAAAAGTTATGTTTGTCTCTGTAACTCCGCCCACTGTCAGCAGCTTGCTCTGCAGCCGATTACTCAGCTTCTTATTATTTACAAATATTTTATTCACAAATTAATATGGTCAGACTCAAACCCGTACTTTAATAGTTTCGTAATTGAACCTGAACAATATGGCACTTTAATGGACAAGATGTAAAGCAGAAAAAAATTGTGAAGCTTTTTCTTTTTTAAACAAAGAGGGGGGAGGGGTTCTACCATTTGTTCTTCCCACATCGGAGGAGTAAGCTGGTTCTGTCCCGAGAACATCTCTACAAGGTAAAAGTTATTTAAAGTTATTTAATGTCATCAAATGTCCGTCATAGTTACAGGTTATCACAAGACGCATTGTTTGCAAAAAGCTGAGTTCACATTTGCCGTTACAACGAGCAACGTATACACAGCTGTCAATTTGTAAACATTGTCATTCCCTGCCCTGGTGTTAGCTAGGATAAAGCCATGAAAATCACAAGGTGAGTTTATATTGATTGACTTGTGTTTAGCGTGTTTTTTTATACAGTGAGTATTTGTAGAGCGTAAGTCCGACTGTTGCTTGATTTACAATATTTAAAACTATGAACCTTGCCCAAAGTTATGCACATTAAACCGAGCTCAGTGGGGAGTCATATCTGATGGATGAGCTTGCGGCATGTTTGCATGTCTATACCTCTTGTTTTAAATGATTGTTCATGCTGTCAGGCGGTGTAGAACTTTACTGCGTCGGTCCGGCTCTGCATGTCTACTCTTGTGCCGACTTTTAAGGGCGCTGATGCAGGTTGTTGGCCTACCTTACGTTAAGCGACCATCTTTACCCATTTAAGGTGTTGATTGTTAAAGATACAATATTGTCTGTGGGACCGCAGTGTTTTCCCTAAAAAACTGTGTTTATGTCTCTGCTTTGATCCGCTCTGTGTTCATGTAAATACCGTAAATACACACAGATCGAAACAGAGACACAATATTGTGTGTGGGGGTGTGTCCCGGAAAGCGACACTTGATACTGGAAAGTGGAGGATATTAATGATTGTGTTACATTTGAGCAGCGGCGCACATACCATGAATATGGGGACATGCCGGACAGATCAAGTAAGGGTGACGATCCACCCGCTGTGAAATGAACTTATCTTCCATATTTGCCGTACACTTGTGTTTACGGAAGTTGAGATGTTTCTCGGTTGTGATTGGTTGTTCCGAGTCACATGACGAGCAGTGCGCGCTGCTGCAGTGCACGTCTCCATTAAAACCAATGGAAATGAGCTCTCAACGCTGATGTGTATGGCTCCGTACAAAGTTGTACTCATTGCATTAGTATGGGCCAGCGCCATTTAGATAGAAGAGTTATGACAACGGAAGTCCAAAAACGGTTATCGTCACGTGGTTCATGTAGACTAGAGAGTCTTCTCAATACTCAAATTTACCCTCCTCGACTCCTCGACTCCTCGGTCCTCCGGTAGTGACCCGGAAATGAATTTCAGCGCGCCATTTTGAAGGACGTCTCATTTCTCTAAATGCACACCGAGGATCGAGCGTCGAGGAGGCTCTCTGGAGGAGCTATAACCGAGGATACACTGATGGTTCCTCCACGGCTCCTCCACGGATGCATTTCCGGGAACGGTGGAGGCGTGACGCACGGCCGGACTTATCTCAGCCAATGACAGCTATTTTAGAAACTGCTCTCATCGCGTCACGATGTTTCCAGAGAGAACAGCTGTAAGGTCCGTGCAGAAAGCAGAGCAGTGTGTATAATATATATCACTCAGTATAACAGGCCTACTCTCTTTATTTGCTTTAGTTTAGTAGATATCTACAAACAAAGAGTCGATATTTTTCTAAGACCATTGCTTCACATAATAAAATACACAACGGCGTATGCTTTAGGAGCTGTAGGTGTGTGTGTGGTACAGTGTGTAGGTGTGTGTTGTACAGTGCGTAAATGCGGCGGACAGACGGGTCTCAGTTGGTTTGGTGTCCTCTGCTTACTTTTAATAGGCCTACTTGTAAATACAACTTTTGGCCCGTAATTTCAATTCCCCATTTCAGCGACCAGAGAGAGGGGGGGATATATCCAGTCTCTGATTGTGTTGCGTTATTATGAGAGTGCTCTCATACTTTAAATTGTATATATTTATATAAATATATTTGTGTGTGTGTGTCCGCATCTGTAGCCTGTTATTGTCTCATTATACCGCACTCTCAATTAATTCAAAGTAAATATGTGGGGGAACAATGTTCAGCTGATGTAACAGAGATACAGCGCTATGACAAAACACTCGACAGCTGATGCAGCTGTTGCCACGTAATAATGAACGGACGTCTCTTTAAAATGACCGCTCAGAGGAGAGGAGTTCTCATTGCTTTAAACGTCTGCTGCTTCCCCTCCTCTCTCCTCGGTTCCCCTCCTCGGTCCTCCGCTCGCATCTCCTGTGGGCGGGTCTAAGTCTCGAGGAGGGGAACCGAGGAGGGGACATTTGAGTATTGAGAAGCCTCTTGTGTGTATTTACGGTATTTACATGAACACAGAGCGGATCAAAGCAGAGACATAAACACAGTTTTTTAGGGAAAACACTGCGGTCCCACAGACAATATTGTATCTTTAACAATCAACACCTTAAATGGGTAAAGATGGTCGCTTAACGTAAGGTAGGCCTACAACCTGCATCAGCGCCCTTAAAAGTCGGCACAAGAGTAGACATGCAGAGCCGGACCGACGCAGTAAAGTTCTACACCGCCTGACAGCATGAACAATCATTTAAAACAAGAGGTATAGACATGCAAACATGCCGCAAGCTCATCCATCAGATATGACTCCCCACTGAGCTCGGTTTAATGTGCATAACTTTGGGCAAGGTTCATAGTTTTAAATATTGTAAATCAAGCAACAGTCGGACTTACGCTCTACAAATACTCACAGTATAAAAAAACACGCTAAACACAAGTCAATCAATATAAACTCACCTTGTGATTTTCATGGCTTTATCCTAGCTAACACCAGTGAATGACAATGTTTACATATTAATTTGTGAATAAAATATTTGTAAATAATAAGAAGCTGAGTAATCGGCTGCAGAGCAAGCTGCTGACAGTGGGCGGAGTTACAGAGACAAACATAACTTTTTTCTTATTTCTTAACATGATTGAGACTTATAGAACGTATACAGCCCTCAAGATTAACATAGTTATACATGATTGATTCATGTTTCATATATTAAATGCATATTTGCAAATTGAACAACCCCACTTTCCCCTTTTTTTCAGTGTGGGAACAAACTAGAGCAGGGCCGCCCCTGGCCAACTTGGGGCCCCAAGCGACATTGTGAGATGAGCCCCCCCCCCCCCCCCCCCCCCCCCAACCGACAGTTGTTTTTGGAAACAAAGTAGGCTACTTT